CATGAAGTGAAAATATTTGCTTAGAAAAAAAGACAAACAGAGGGATGTAATGGAAGTATAAAAAATACTGATCGGTCTAAAGGAAACTGATTGAGAACTCTGGTTGTGTTAGTCCCATAAAACAAGGACAAGCAGATGGCCAGCAAAACTGAAAAGTGTCAAATTCTCAACAAAGATTGAAGCAAAGTAATTTTTTCCTTACATCTTGTGTGGCAAGCCTTTGTCATAGAAAGCAACTGAAAACTCTGCAAAATTCAAGCACTTCTTATAAATATAACAAGAATTTACAAAATCCTTACAATAAAAGTGGCAGGATTAAACATGCTAACAGCAAAATAAAAATCTTCCTTTACAGCTTACATCACCACCTACTAAAACCCAGAAGCATACCATGTGTGCTTGAATAGACATGGGGCCAATCATCCATGGGCTACTTACTTGCTACTGACCAAATATCAGGTAAGCAGCAGGGCTAAATGAGTCTATGTATAGCAATATCTCCGTATCATTTTTGTATGTACAAAAGCTTGTCCCTTATTAAAAAAGTAATTAAAGTCAAATATACTTACTGCTGTCATATATTGCATCTGATATAACAGGATCAAGTTTCCGTGTGAAACTACCATTACTGTCAGGGAGAAAGGCTGTAAACATAAGACGCACCACACTGAGATCCATTTCTTTAGTCTGCTGTACTGCTGCCTGACGAATAATTTCTCTTTCTCGTTCTGGAATCGATAAGTAGACAGATGAATTAACACAAGGTGTAGGGGACCCATAACAAAACAGAGCACGCATTTTCCAAACATTACTATCAAAAGGCAACAACAGCGAGGAAATGTTTTCCTTTTCATTTAGTATTCATTGGCTTCTCTCTTTTTAAGCAGAGAGGAGCAGCTATTCACAACATACTGCATTCATCTTGCAGTTTGTGCATCAGATGTTATTTAAGATAAGGTATATAATTAAGACACATGCTCTCGATTTATAAAGGTCGTGAAAAGGACAAAGGCCACCACTAAGGACATTTGAATGTCTGGTATTAGAGGGATAAAGAGAAGGCTGGCCCCTCTATACAGTGCCTGAAAGCAATGCAGACCACAGGTTTTACAGGAACATGGGTGAAATGTAGCTGAATGAAACAGTTATTCTCAAAAGAAGGTCCCTAAGTTACTTAAGGATATCATTGTCTTGCAGCAATAATGCAAAATGACTCCATTTATCAGCTTATTAAACAGGATAAGAGCAATGAAATAGAGGCGCAGAGGTGGGTACAGGCAGCTATGGAAGGAAGTTGCTCCATTCTCACATGTGTGTTGACAGCAAGGACTCTTTCTTTCAGATTCCCTAAAACACAGCAACAACACACCACGTCTTAAAGCATATAACCATAAGCTGTTTTCCTACCCAAAGCCTTTTTCTTGCCAAGAATCTGTGTTTTCAGAAGCTAAACCTGTTTTTAGTAGAAGGCCTATTAAAACCAGACCATCATTTCTACATACCAGTTAGCTGTCTGTCTCCACATCCTTCTGCCTGCAGATAGGCAAGTTCAGGATGCACCAGGAGTCCCGGGTTGTACCCTTTTTTGCAAGCATCTATCATGCGTGTTTCCAGAGTTTCAAACACTTTCTTCTTTGTGACATGAAGTATTCCAAGATTTGCAAACCTGCCGAATTTTGATCAAGGGAAATATTTTCTTAATGCTTTATGCCAAACCTGCAGCAGTCAGTCTCTCTCTTACCAGGGGCAGCTACACAACTGAGGTCAATGGGAGGACTCTATAGGCCTGCTTAGGCACTATTAATTCTTGAGGGCAAGTTTTCCAGCAAGAAAAATGCAGCCAAGCTTACAAAACATGTAAAATGTGCACCATTAGATGGCAGCGATCATATGGGTACATGGGAATTTCCCATGGCATAAGTAGTAATCTATCAGGTTTCAGACTTATACTGTGGAAGCAACGTACAAGACATTTGAAAATCTGGTTGTCACGCTTTGCTCTGTCTTGGCAATGACATTAATACGTCATTCTATATGGCTCTTATGGAGAGCAACAGATCAGAATAAGCTCTATCTGTTCAAAATGATTTGGAGAGCAAGCTAAGAAGCTAAAACCAGTGCAACATTTTCCAAAGGAACTGTTTTAAGCAAGGCTCTGGACATTCAGCAAGACACTTCAGGTATCTACTTGAATGAAAAAGTCCATAATACAAGATCTGCTTTTATAAAAATCTCCTGGCACATTTAAAAATCAATTAGGTCTGGAAGTATGAAAACAAGACAATAACTCAATTTTCACATGGGTCAATTGAGGATAGGAAAGCTGTTTCTAAACATCTGATGAAAAACAAGACAGGTTAGGAAATGAGCCAAACTTTTCAAGATGAAAAGGAGCATTTCAAATAAAGCTATTTAAATTGTTGTGCTTGGTATAGTGCACTGGGCTTGGACATCAAAAGTTACAGTTTAAAAGAATCTCTCTCCCAACCTTCTCAGCTTTTTAAACTTCATCTTCTTCACCAACAAAGACATTCTTGAGATCACAGAACTAAAACTCACGGCCAGCATGAAACCTGATCTAAGCCTCAGCTTAGAAGACAGAAGCCTCAGCTCCATTTACTGATATAAGCAATTATTCTTTTAAATTAAACAAGAACAGACCAACTACAATTTCACTACAATCTTACTGCTTTAAACTTAAAAAGTTTGACTCATTTAGTATTTTCATGCTTATACGTGTCTTGCATTAATTTCAAATTTACTAACCCTATGTTCTTAACACTTTTCTCTTCATTATATTCCTATTGGCAGATTTCAGCAAGAGTAAAATATTTACCAAAATGGTAACAAAAACTTTTCTTCAGTAATTTTACAGTTCTTTCTCTTTGATCGAAACTACTTACATTTTAAAGAATGAGCTTACGATACAAATTAGGACTGCACACCAAGAGATTGAAACACTACAAATTCTACGTGAAAATTATTTGCTTAAACCTATTTAGTTTGCTTAGGGCAAATTCTACAAGGGTAAATAGAAACCCCACTTATTTTTCTATTTAAGACACAAACAAAACACAGATCAGAGCATGAAGATGAGTGCTCCACTTAGCGTCCTCTTAGTATCGCTTTTTGTATTGCTCCTTACAGTGTTTATACTCGATTCTCTCTCCCTTAGCCCAGCTTTACAAATAAGTTGACAGACTTACCCTACAACCATATCTTTAGGTCCTGCATTAACCGTGCATACTCCATCTTCACAAAATTTACCCACCAAGCTGTGAGCATGTAAGTGGACGTATTTCCCATTAGTAACTAACTGGACGATTACTTTTGCAGGTCCAACATAATTGCAGATCTGTAAATAAATATAAAAAACCGAGCGGGTTTAATTTTTTTTTTTAACGGAACAAGTAATGATTCCAGTTAAGTATTTTCTGTCAGCTAAGTACAACTGAATTTACATAGGAGAAAGGTGTATACGTTTCCTCATGAAATACAAATTACAAACTAACTGTACCAGATCATCACAATGAAAAGCCAACACTTTCTTTGTAATTGAACTTGAGATACAAATGGCAGAAGTAGTGACCAAAAAAGCTAAGAAATAAAACAAAGCTAAAGGAAAGCAACCTTCTGTCTCCCAAATCATGAATCTCAGCTTTACATTCTGGCCAGCTACTCCACTTTGCTCTCCTTCAATTTCAATTAATACACTGAATTCACAATACACATTGTTACATGTTAAGAAGCATATAGAAAGTGTCTCCTGCATTATTTTGCCTAGTTTGAAAACACTTTAAAAAATAATTTTTAAATATTATGATTGCTTTAAAACATTTTGGCCTCATTACAATGACTCTTCAGGTAGAGATTTTGGAGTTAATTAATTCTATATTCATAGGTATTTTGGTAGTTCAATGTGCTACATCAACACATATTACCCAGTCCAGTAAATATTTCCCTTAAGTGTACATGAGGATATATGTGAAATCCCCACCTACAATTTTGCAGGACTGGAACTATGATAAACTGAGTGCTTTAGTATAGCCAACGCTGGAGGACTACAAAGCTTTTTTTCCTTGTTACAGTTTCTAATCACCATACATTTTTTAATAGCTTTTAAAATTGCAATGTCAAGTAATGCCTCAAAAACAAACTTAAAATTACTAAGAATATACCATATTGGTAAGTTATTTGTTTTACATACATTATTTGGAACTTTATTTTTCTTTCCTCACAAGTAATACTCCAAGTCAGTTATCGGTTACGCACCACTTCCAAATTATGCTGAATATAAAATTACCCCACTTTTAAAAAAGCAAACACTACTTTCCCTTCCAAGTCACTTAATTAACCCTTTTATCAAGGTTGGTTTTTTTTTTCCCTTCTCCTCTAATTTTTCTTCTAATTTGCCTTGGGCAAAGTTCTTTGTATTACAGCAACTTATAGATCTAATCAACCAAGGTATTAAAGGGTCACAATAAACATTAAAGTCATGAATCAGTGATGAACTGAATACTTAAGGTTATATTGTTGATAAAAAGTTGATAACCAGGGATTGCCAGAATTTCACCACATTACTAGGTCCTGCTAGCTTCTTTCACTCCAGTTAACCCCTCTCTTGAACCCGTTCCATCACAGCTGAAACACTCTGCATATGTACAACACGTGCCCTTCCCATCTTTCTATTCACTGCTAAAAGCAAAAAAAATCCCAACTATGAAAAAGCTGTTCCAGAAGGAACAGGTGTGCAAAAATCCTGTCATTACTCACTGCCTGCTAATTAAATGTGTAACACTGTACTAATGTGCATTTTAAAAGTGGCAGTTTCTAAAATACAAAACACAGGGTGCTCGTGCTTCCCTCCTGTTTTTAAATTGTAACCTCTCCTGGATTGAAACAATATAGAGACGCAGAATAATCACTGCTTCACCATATCCACCATTTACCAGCTGGGAGAAAAATGCAGGGATCCCTAGGCAACTTCCACAAAGTCATCCGAAATGAAAAATGATTGCATTTGGTGCTACATGTCACCACCGCTACTACAATTAACTTTTCAAGAGGGGGGCTTTTAAAAAAATTATTTTCATGTTATCCCTCACTAAACATGCCTTTCCCTGCTATAAAGTCGCCAGCACATCTATAGCATTATATTCATTATGACTAACATGCATGTTCTAGTATCACATCAAAAAGTTCAAGACAATCCTTCATCAGCTGTAGAAACCACAGTGAAACTGTAGGTAGGACTGCTGCACGTCAAGGACTTTCCAGCCTCTGAAAGCAGAACATGTAACTGCAGCGGTAACCAGATTGCAATCTCCCCCTGTTACTCAGCTCAGCATGATCTTTGTAGTCCCTCTCAGGGGAAAAACAAGAGTTCTTAAAACGTAATACCTTATGTAGGTCATAAGGCAAGAAAGCACTATTTTTGTCATCCAGACTGATGTCCTAGGCTGCCAAGGCTACAGAATGTCCCTGAACTGTTTCCTACCTATATTTCCTACAGACAGGCTTTCCTACTTGGTTTTGAGACATCCAGGTTATCTTGGTGACCAGCAAAATAGCCTCAGGCATTAAATATCCTTATGTACCATAAATTAAGTCTGAAATAATTATTCAGTGTCTTTGAATCATTGATGCCACAATTTCAGAATAACTTCAAATTTATTCTGGCACTAAGATATACCAATAACTGTCACCTTTTACATAAGAACTTAAAAAACACTGTCAAAGGCCTTAAAAGGTAGACGGTATATTACAATCCTGAGTATCTACAGAAACCTAAGGATTATGGTGTTGACACAAAAGCATACACTCAACATGAGAGGGAGGTAGCACGTGGGTGCTATACTGCTCAAAATCAGAGCTGTGATCTGAAAAAAAAAAAAAGCTACTGAACTTCAAATTAAAGATAGGGGAGAAAAAAGAAAATACGGAGTTCCCGGGAAGAGCAGAGCTCTAATACTTGATTACATCCTGTACTGAAGCAGCATTCAATTGATCTAATCTGATAAAGTTAAAATGCTGCAGGCTCATATTTATCTGCTGTTTCTGTTTGAGATTTGCCTGCGAGATTAAAAGGACCCTGTGAACTTGAAATAGAGTCAATTTCAAAACAAGAGCTGAAAGTTTTTTAAGTTATCTCACATCCTCCTGCAATCCAGACCCCAGTCAACTTTTTATAGTTTCTGAAACTTTACAAAAACTTTATAAGAACGTTTCCCTACTTCAGAGATGTTTTTTCCAGTTACTCTTACAAACCAGAAGTGAAACCAACTGGTCAACGACAGAAAGCAAATGATGGAAAAGACCATGCCAAACCTACAAAGCCAGCAACGACAAAAATACCCATTTCTCTTTCTAATCACTTTGTTAGAGCAACTGTAGCCCAAATCCTGCCGAATATTCAGAGCATGACTAGTGCTGTCCTCAATACGTGCACTCAAAAAGCGTTCCACAGACGAGGCATCACTCACCCTTCATAAACAGTATGTTTTCACAGAGTAGCATCTTTTTTTTCAGTTGTGATGTGAATCGTTCCAGCAACTGAATACTTATTTAGAGGTCTAAGAATAAGCAATGTAATTTAAATCAATGGGAGCTGATGATCTTCTGATCCTCTGAATGTGAGGCCACTCTCATGCCAAAAACATGGAGTTAGGTGCTCTGCTTTAAGAGCCCAACTAAAGGGACTTGGTGCCCCATATTCAGCCAAATTAACCATAACAGTAAAAAGCACAAATCTCACTGAATTTAGCTTTGGCTGAATTTGGTTCGGTACAGGTTTTTAAGAGGGATAGAGATTTATAACAAAAAGTCTGCTCATTCTTGTCTCATGTTTATTCCTTAATTCAGCTGTTAAATGATTTTTTTAACTTTTAATCAGCAGTCTATCACTCTACAACTTAATTCCTACAGGGGGGGAAAAAAGGCAAATATGCTGCTCCTTTCTTCAGCAAGAAGGCTCAAAGTAAGTTGACTAATTTTCCATAAATTCCCCTCCTGAACTTGAAGTATGTGGTGAAATCCCCAATTTAAATAAGAACGCTAATCTCCAAACCGAGGTATAATTTAGGATAGCCCCAGGACATGACTGGATGGGCAGCCCTCCTGTACGGGTGCCTGGGTTCAGGGCTGTCTACCTTGTATGCAGTTTCACTTCCCAAGCTGAACTGCACAATGTCCAAGCTCTTCGGCAGAAAGATGGTGCTCACTAGCTCGGGCACACCTCTGAGCAATCGGTTACTCAGTCTCTGGGCTAGAGCTGATTTATATCCAGCTCACAGAGAACAGGCAACTTGAGTTTGCAGCCACCCACGTAGATTTGCCCCCAAGGAGATGAAAATTCAGGACATTGCCTTCACACCACTATTTTCAGCAAATGCGTTTCACACCCAAAACTGGATCAAGTACTTCAGTGTAAAACATGAAAATGCCTACACTAACATCAGTATGCAAGATCAGGACACACATGGTAAACGTGTAAGAAGGCCAGTGGAAATTTTCTGCACAAGTTCTCTCACAGCTTTTCAAATACATAAACCCAAGCAAATTATGAATAAAAAATTTAGATATTTAAGTAAACTGGTGATAATATTAGACAATCCAGTTTCATTCTTTCTTCTCATACTATTATTTTTTCCTCTGGACAAAAAGCGAACAATGAATAAGCAGCTCAGGAGCTTTCATTTCAACTGTTCTAGATAGCAAAATTTGCCAGCATTGCGTTACTTACACTAATCAGACGAAAATGAAATTTAGAAGAAGCATTTTAGGTAGCTTTCTACTGTAATCACGAAACTTGTCATGAAACGTTAACTTCATTATAACATGTTCAGTATCTACAACTTCTCTGCTCTCCATAACTACATGCAAAGTTATAGAAAATCATCTGAAAACGTAAGACGCTTTATATATCATATTATGATTAGTGTTAGCAAAGACAGGGTTAAACAAAGGAATATAATTCCACAAACTATAAAGATTAATTAATCCCATTTTTGATATTATATAAAAATACTACTGTTATCTAGACTCCATTTGTCATGACTGTGCAGTTAAAACAAGAGGTTTTAAATCAATTCCACCTTTCTGGCCAGTGCAGATTTGTCTTAAGTGTGAAGACTGGCATTGCAGAACGGCTACACTAACCCCTGACCTACACCTTCTCCTAATATACTATACAGGAGGTGGTTAAATATGTAATTAACTACTAAAATATCTTGCTTGCAGACATAGCAAAGTCTTTAGCACTCCAGTCTTTAAATGAAAGATACATTTTGATGTGTTCCAGCTCAGCTACAAGTTAGGGACTGGCTGCAGGAAAAAAAAAGTGAAGTTGAACAGTCCACATTATGCAAGAGGTCATACCAGATAAAAGTGTTTTCTTTTGGCCTTCAATCGGTAATCCTATGACAAGGGAGAAGGGAGACTGCAATGCTTTTTTGTGCACTGAAGGTGTCTATTTTCAGGACATCCCATGGTAGCTACTGATAAACTACATCAGCTTTCTGTGCAGAGCTGGCCAAGCAGAAGAGATCTCCCAATTGGAGTTGCACTGGCCACGCCATGGCCAAGGTTTAAAGATCTGTCACAAAAGCTCCTTCTCACAGTACAGCCAAGGCTCACATTACTGTCCTTTCACAGCACTGTGATCAACTAACAGAGGTTTTATGGTGAAAGCCTTGGCACAAGAGTCAAAAAACACAAACAAACAAAAACACAACCCAAACAAAAAAAAACCACAAACAAAAGACCCAAAACAAAAAAAACCCCAACGCAACAAAAACTAGCAATCTTCAATTGTGCTCACCTCAGTTACGACAAGGTGAGTACCCTTTGACAAAACACAGAAGAGACTTACAGGAAAAGGTGTGAAACACTTCTGTCTTTACTGGCACCACTTGAATCAAGAACAGGCACTAACAAGCAATGGCCTCGAGGAATTTACTTGTTGTGTTCCCTTGCCAGCCTCTCCCAGCAGGTGTTGCCATGTGGGGATTTGTAATAGAAAAAACCCAGATGCACACAGTAGGACCAGAGGGAGGGAGGGGAAGGGACACACGTGTGTGTGTAAGCTTTAGATGAAATCAAAATCTGATGATCAATGAAAACAGAAGGTTTGATGGAAAGCCAAAGAACATTTCGCTTTCTAGTTTACTCATGGAGAAATTACATTTCCTGTGTAATACTTCATTGCGTATCTCCTTGTCATGCTCTTGTGCAACCCACCACACCTTTATGAAGTATAATTTGTATTATTATCAATATAGATTGGATTGGAATCCAAAGATCTGGCTCAATTGAGGTAAGTTATTTTATATCTGACCATACCAGTGAAATTTCATTCATTAGTTCATCATTACTGTTACAATAGGAAAGGGAAAAGCAAGTAGATCCTTTGCCTGGGCTAGTAATTTTTCATAGGAGTTTTGCAAGGCTATATGAAATCAGCTTTCCCAGCCTCTTCTCAATTCGCAGGACTAACACCCTAGGCTATCTCAGCCAATGCTGATTATTTTCCATTGAGTCATGCTCACACTGATTCATTATGGAGATGCAACTGTTCCAAACTCCAGCCTTTCTCAAGAACTGCAGAAGGACTACATGCATACTGCAGAGAATGCTGAGGAGTGGCACAGACCAAGACAGAAGCTGACTGCTTGCCACTCTTCCCTCCCCTTCTCTTCCCGTAAAGACACCAATAAGAGATAACACCAGAATTAAAATACATTAACCCTGCTCCTCATGAGACCATGTCTAGTGCAATAGTTCAAAGAGGTAATGCGATACCAAGCCTAAGACTTTCATTAAGTTAAAAAAAAAAATACTAAAAAGACACAACGTATCTTTTCCCCACTTCCCTGGAAAAAGAATTTGCTGCAAGAACCACAGGCAAAAGACAGTTGTTCTCTAATCCTAGAACGATTAATCACCACTATTATAATGTTCATATTGTGCTAGCACAGAAGGTTTCTTTGATTAACATGTTTGAATTTTTTCCAAAGGAAAAAAAGCCCTCCAGAACGTTCACACCTGAACATAATGCTGCTGCTATTAAAATAAGAAGGTTTCTGTTGACTTCAAAGGAATTAAGTCCTTAAGAATTGAGTATCCTAGAGATATTGAATAAGGAGTAACGTGAACAGAAGAAGGAGCAAAACTTGGTATATAGCATGTTAGAGTGAGGTGGAATAATTGCTCAGACTCATGCTTTGCAGCGTGCTAGAAGTGGAGCAATTGAGCACCTCAGGCCTTGCTTTATGCTAAAACTGCACCTTAACGAAGAGCTCCATTAGTCTGCACAAGAGCAGTGAGGTGGTAGGTGCAGGAAAGCTTACTGCTCAGCTGCTGGCAGATAAATACAGTGCCAAAATAACTCCACGAATCTGAAGACAACTTCCTTTTCAAAATCAATTACATTTTGGAAGTTGGGATTGAAACGCAGTCACTCTTGAGCAACTTCATACAAATTTATGTTGATAGGCAGTAAGGTCCTATACACATACATATGACGCACTCAGTTTGCAAAATTATGATTTATGTACTTACTTTGACCTGAGGGTATGATTTTTTGTTCTTTTCACTAGAAGCACCAGGAAGTCCACCATGTGAAGGCCCTTCGCATACATATCGGAAACGAAACCCCCTCTGTGGAAATAAAGGAAAAGAAACTTGAAAGCTGTTTAGAAACAAAACTAAAAACAAAAAAACAAAAAACCAGCACACACACACAAGCGTGTACACATACACACACAAAAAAAAGACTTGCCCAAACAGCCCACAAACAGAAAAGTTAATAACTGTTGATCCCTGAAATACTGTCTGAGTACTGGTTAACAAAGCACCACTGAACTGTAGCCCTGAAAAACCAGTTCTATTCTCAGCCTTACACACAGCAACAACCCGAAATTCTTCTTTCAGTAAGTGAAGATATTTTGATGCAGAGATCCATTTATACTCTCAAAACAAGATAAAAATTAAAAGATAGAGAACGCAAGAGCAGATACTCTCTCTCATGATTGCTCCTAGGTAGAGAGAATTGAAGCCAATAATAACCAAGGAAGTCCAAAGCATCGTAAAGAAAAGAACAGGGATGAAACAGAAACGCTTCTTCCTTCTGGGAAGAACATGTGAAAGCTGCATCTGCAAACGGAGTCCAGAAACAGCACAAAAGCTTTAAGAAACTTTGAATGGCTGGGTTTTCATCTCGGCTACATAAACAGATGTCTCCATAAACTTTAGGGAACTGCAGGATATTAGCAACCACTTTAGAGTACACGTGTCCATCTATTTGTTTTTATTCATAGGAAATAACATCTTCTTTACAGAGTAATCTATAAGGCACAAAAGATGCAACTCTTAAGCAAATCTATTTGGTAAATCTAACTCTACTTAACTATACTATTTCACGTGGCCCCCAACTTTGAATACTTTCAGACCTACTCCCCAGTCCTGCAATTTCTGGCAAAATCCCCACCAAATATAAGGCTCCCAATGTCTGTCCAAACAGCATCAGTTAGTGTTGTATCCTTCATCAAGACTCATTAAGCTTCTTTCTATTACTACACAACTCTGAATTCAAAGTCTCTATTAGCTGACAGTGAACAACACGGTTCAAAGATTACTCTGTAATCATTAGCTTCAATATCTATCTCACTAAAGTCTTTTAAGTTTAAGAACTTATTTTGCAGGCAAACATAAAGATCTGACTTTTATTCAGACGCTGACCAGACAATATAATTCATCCTTAAGCACATTATTCGCCTTCCTATGGCGAACTGAGCGACCAAGTGTATTGCAAGTGAAGTGCCCAGCCATGATGAGCTTGAACTCAAGTTGTCCAAAAGGCCAAGCAACTTCTGCGGTCACGACGTGTGAGATGAGCCAGTCTCTCTTCAAGAACTCAAGTTGTCCAAAAGGCCAAGCAACCTCTGCGGTCACGACGCGTGAGATGAGCCAGTCTCTCTTCACCTCTTATGCCTTCAATCCAACAGATCTAGCAATCATCTGTGTGGCCTTCCCCAGTCTATTGCCCTTGCTATCCTAGCTATGTTTCCACACATACAGTCTTACTCCCCGCAGCTGTTTCTTTCCTCCAAAACTGATCACAAGCACAGCACTCTGCTGATGGATCGCCCTCATCACCCTGTTATAAACCATTGCCCAGCTTGCCACATGGGTACTCCAATACAGGAGCTGCTTGCTGAGAAATCGTGCACAGAAACAATGGTTTCTCTTTAGGTCCAGCACACTGTAGGCTCCACCATCCAAACATGCAGCCTGATTTGGGACGAACTAAAACAGCAAAGAAGCAGCAGCATACTCTTCTAAGAGCTCACAGTACGCTGCTGTTTCACCTATGACTATGAAGTGTTCCTATTCCTGGAGGGATGCTGAAGCATCAAAATGTCTTTGCTGTGTGGCTGCTTCCTGCCAGGAAGACTGGATTGTGGCACGCTTCTGCAGATGACCAAGAAGATGGGACAGCTTTTAGTCACCCTCTTCCCCTGTCTACTTAACAGCTCCATAAGGTAGGATTTTAGGCAACCGACTGGGAGAGGCAGGAAAGGGGACTCCATACTGTAATAGCTTCAGGAGGAATCCCTGTAATTGCTGATGCCACCAGCTACAGGGGAATGATGCCCTGGCATACTTCAGGGCAATCTTCACCCAGCAATTACTTTGTACATCAGTTGCATGAAAACCAACCAGTGTACTGGGATGACTTTCATGCTGTCAGAGGAGCATAAGTGAGTGTTTCCTACAGAGTCATGAAAAAAGTTACATTGAAGTATTTATATTCATTTTTCTTGGGTTATTCCAAACAGCCAACTGTGATGAAAGGAATCTTGAAGGACAACAGAATTTCTTTATGATGACAAAGGACAAGTCAAAAGTTCCTGTAACTTGGGAACAGAATGAAATGTTTTTATTTTTTCTGTCATGTGTTTCAAGAAACATGAAACAAATTCTAAAAATCTTCCATGTTTGGTCTAATTGTTTACTTTTCAAAATACTGGGGTAATGTAAGAGTCACTTCTAAAACTAAAAGTCTATACATCTTTTTTTTAAAACCCTCATTTTTTTTTTTGTCTTATGACACTTCGAGATACACAAAGATGAAAACAGAACAAAACAGGAAACTACTTCACTAGAAAAGTGAGAGGAAAAACTGTTCATGGTTAAAGTACCACATTTGTTATGACAGTTCAACCTCTTCAATACTCTTTTTTTTCCTCATCTTAAGTCATGATTTTATTCAAAGCTGAATATAGTGACATAGCTACCTTAAAGATTTTCAAAATGTACTGTTGTTCTTACCTGTTTTGGCTGTTCTATGATTTGAAGATATGGTCCATCTGCTAATATAAAAGAAAGAAAAGTCATAATAGAACTTACATTTCTATTACTATGACATAAGTTGCAGGGGTAAAAATCGATGTCTTTGAATGTCTTGAGATAAAATTTTTGAAAGCACTGAAGCATCTTCAGAACTTAAATTTTAATACATAATTGAGTCACTTTGCAACCTGTCATTTCCAATGTTCCCCAAGACCACCGGGGACCAGATAATTAACTCAAAAAAGTTAATTTTAGCTCAGAGGGCCTAAAAGGGCAACTCTGATCATTCAGTTAAGACTCACAAGGGTAAGTAAGAACAGGATCCTCCCCTTGCCCGTGACAAGCAACCTGGCCTTCCTGAGCTAAAGGTTAACTTTTGTATTTAAATCCCTTGGGCTCTAAAGACTATAGGCACAAGCTCTTGACCCTAGGGCTTCCTACTGAATCGGTGCTTTTGAAAGTCTTGAGACAGCCAATGGGAAGCTCTGAGGTATGGGAATATAGGAGGAATTTAAGCTGTTTCAACATGCCCTAACAGTCAGAACTGCTTTAAAAAAAAAAAACAAAACACCAACAACTGGAATTGAGGAGACTAAACAATTTACTTTCTTTTAATTATTTCAGATACAGTTTTAAAGATAGTGTTCTGCAGTGCCTCTAAAAATACTGAACACACTCTCTTTCACTACAGATGCAGACTCTATAATGAGATTCATCTCTGAGCATGATGCCAACACATAGGACTACGTTCCACTAAAATTCTATTTGCATCTTTCAAAGAAGGCTTCCTTAAACAACTTTCAGTCTTGCACCATTCCCTGAACAGTGGCTAACCTCATGTCATAAACCTCATTCAAAATTCACCAGCTGAAATAGCCTTTGAGCAGGCCCTAAATCCAACGAGAACTCAGTGCCACCAGAGTTAAGAATTCACCACCTGATCAAAGCTTAGCTCCAACTCTGATCGTTTAGACTATTTACATTGAGAGGGAAAGCTCTCCAGGCAGATGGTTGTGAAATATGTCTTAAAATGTTAGCCGTTCTCGAGTCTGAAAATGACAGTTCCAAGTGGTATGATTTCTTCCCTGCCTCTTGCTAAGCAGAGAAGAAGATTCGGATTTCAATGCTAAAAATGCAATCGTTATCAAAGCAGACCCCAAATGACAGCTTCACTGCGAATACCCACACAGTATTTTGCCAGTTATATTCCTGCTAGAATTACGTATCATTACTTACACTCTATTAAAGGTATTAATGCTAAGGAATCAAGTGAGCTTACTGGGACACGTGAAACCTCCAAAGCAGACAGGCCCCAGGTACGTGGCAGAGCCTGCAAGCATATAAAGCATACCATGCCCTGCCAACATCCAGGTGTGATCTGCCTCTGAACGACGGCACTATCTGCAAGTACCACGCCATCCAGCTACCCTCGACTAGGTAGTACTTGGCTTCAGCCCAGAACTACAGACTTGTATCAACTTTCATTTGCCAATAAGCCTAAAGTTCACTCATGATTAAAAAAGGCAGAGGATTCATTAATTTATAGTTTGCAGTATGACTACATACATCCTTCTCAGCTCCTCAATACGACTTCACTCTAAGAAAACAGACCTTCGTGTCTTTAGTCAGCATAGGTCTTAACTCAACAGGCTTCTCTCAACATGAAAGTTTTGATAAATATGCTAATAGATGGAATCAGTAATTTGCTGTTGCAGTTAGCTGACTCGGCAACTGAATCAGCTTCATGCCAAAGTTATATTGCAAATGCCAGCCACAACAATTTCACATATAAAGACCATTTATTTCCCAAGTCCAACACTCTTCCTGTGAAAAAGTTAACGGTGCTACAATTAAAATCTTGAAGTCATGCAAAACAATTACCTCAACACCATAGACACATCATCTTACAATAGAAAGCATGAAGAACAGTTTGGACTTCAGGAACTTTAAAAGAGGTAGAGTAGTATTTAGCTCTAGTGTGGTTTTATGTTTCAGTTTTTGTCTGTAACACATGCAGTCAAGATGAGCCAAGTTGGGTTTAAGCATTATATCAGCACTTACATTTAAGACTTCTGTTCACAGACCTCTAACCTTCCTTATGCTTTAGGCATCTAAAATTTTATACTTTAACAATCCAGAAGCCGTGTATCTTCTGAGTACTGGCAGAAATAATGCACCTAAAATACAACTCTGTAGTTCAACTTTCAACCAAGCCTCCAGGGCAGGATGTGCCAAGTAACTGTTCTTTGGCTGTTCTTCCCTTAGGAATTCATTTTCAAGGCATATATGTTGGGTTAGTATCAGCACAAAATACTACTGCTTTCTCTTAAACATTAGCCAGAAAAGGAAGCGCTCTTTTATGCCACAGCTCAGTGGCTGTAGCAGTCCCTGAGTACGCAGCAGACCCAGGTTCCAACTTTTCCTCAGCATAAGGAAATTCTAAAAACTCCTAAGAGAGGGATATACACTATATTGGTATATTGGAAAGCTCAAGGGGAATTCTTCATACCACTGAAATAGTTCCACCTTCCATGGCTCTTGTGAAAACTCAGGAAAATTGAGAACTTGGGATTATGATTCTTATGCCCCCTTGGAAAAAAGCTTATTAAAAAAAGCAGACTGATACAAAAAAATCAAAATATCTTACATACTAATACTAGGAAAGTGCAAAAAAGATGCAGTTTAAATGTACAAAAGCAAATTAGATGTCTGTTATCATTAATACAGATTATATAAATCATATTCCAATGTATTTAAAACAAAGTTTTGTGAGGTCTTGTTTTAACCTTTGGGTTTTGTGACTGAACATTTTCTTTTTTACAATGACCAAGTAATTCTCTAGTATAGCACCTTACCCAGATCCAAGTAACAGTACAGAGAAGGCACTTCATTACATCTGAAATGCTATTTAAAGATAAAACAGCAATATTCAAGGTAACTTCCCAGCATAAATGGCATATAATTTTGACTATAAAAAGCATTTTACTTAAAAAAAGGTCTCATACAGCTTTCTTCACTGAAGTCTGAATACTTCCCAGAAGTACGTTAGACAGACAACCTAACTATGGTTGGCTATGTACGGTTCCTTCTTTCTCTCTCTCATACTTTCCCACGAGGAAAAGAAAAGATGTTTAGTGTTTCGCACAGTAAAGTTTTTAATATTCCGTTTCTATTAGTAGGCATGTCTGGTCTAAGCACACGGACAGCAGGAACCCGAAGACGTACACCTTGTAAGAGGAATTAATAATGACGAGATTTGTGATGATCTTTTGCACCGCTGTTCTAGGCTGGAAAGTTGCTTGCTTCAAGTTCTTGTTTAACAAGCAACCCCCTTTTAAGTGTTCAACAACCACAAAAAGGAAGGCTACTTAATGCACATCTTAAGTTCTACTTTTGCCCTACCGAGAAGCTGAAGTGGCACACAGTCACGGTGCTCACCTCTACACTGGGATGACTCCCACAGCTGCCAAGAGCCAAGTTTTGACATGAGCACTCCTCACGATTTGCCTGGCACTGCTGCAGCCAGGAGGGCTAAGAACTGCAACCAAAACGTGCAGTCCTCCAGCCTGGAGGGTGTTTGGTGCAGACTGCCACATCCTGGGTATGCTTCAGTGCTTCCTTTTCTGCCTTCTCACCTTGGTTGCCACAGACCGACTCACATCCCACTGCCTCCCCTCCAGCCTGAGTCACAGTCCCACTTCCCCATGTCTTCTTCAACTGCTACATTTCTTCATTTTCCTTCCTGCCTGAGTCAGAGGCCCTCCTGCATCTCGACACTCCCACCACTCACATTCTTTCTTTCTCTTGACAGGCCTCACCCTGCACACACACTTCCCGAATGAGCATCCATCTTAGGCTCCCTCTTCCCATCATAGCAAAGTCAAGAAAAAGCAGCAGTCTGTGAGGTTGGTGGGATATCCCTGCAAGCCTGGCAGGACTGTAGGACTAGCGGGGTCCTTCATCTAACAGCTTACCTAGTACCTGGAGCCATTCAATTTAATCTGCAACCAGCCGTGGTCAAGTCCCCCCCTCACCTCCTCTCTGTTAGCAGGTCTGCCAGAACAGGCATCTCACCCTCATAATTGTGTGCTGTTTTGCTCTGTTGACATGGATGAAAACACTCATAGCCTCTAGGTTTTGATTGTTAAATCCGAGCCTTCTGTGTCCACCCTGGCAGTGGTATCTCGCTGCCAAAAGCTCAGACTCTAGATCTAGTGTCTTACCCTTCTTGAAGGCCTCTCGTAGCATTTCTATGTCCTCCCCCTCAGGGATTCACCCGCACAAGAACGCTCTCTTGCATCTCCACTCTGCAGTGTTCAAAGCATGATGTTTAAAGCAAGCAGCACACAGGCTTTGCTTAACCCTTCTCTTCCCTCAGTTCACTCTTCAAAATACAAGCACAGAAGGTCTAAAAAAAACATCAGAAGCATTATGCAAGTCTGCTCATGCTTCTGAGGATCAGGGCCACTGCTACGCGACAAAGAAAATGAACACTCGTCTAATTTTTGGTGATGGTCAGGCTTCCTTGATTCTCTAACACACACTCTCTCTGAAAAAATATGAAATAAAGTTTGGGATTTTTTGGGTTTTTTTTGGTTTAAGTGCCTTTTTTTTTCCCCTCTATGCCCTTCTGATTTCTCAGCAGCAAGCATCACAGAGGGTTGGGCAGAGGAGGTTAAAGAAATACCAGAAAACTGTAATTTTAGCAGCCTCCAGACAATACTGTTCAGCCACTGATAGCCTTGCTTCAACTTCACAGGCTTAAAAACACAACACCTTAATGCCAACAGCTAGTTAGACAAAAGTCCCTAAAATCCAAAACCATTAACCAGTTCCCCAAAACATCTCTAACTGGCACACAAATTGCTACGCTGCATGGTTGTAGATGGCCTTGTATAATAAGGAGGAAGTGAGAAACACCAAAAATTATAAAATGCTTTGCTCCAAGCTCTGCTCATGTCCTCTCCAATTTTAGGCATCACCTTGTCCCTCCCCTACACAGGGGGCATCACACTGATGCACATCTGCTTCTACACTGCCTAAATACCTGTCATGGATAATGCTCCCTCCATGCCCGATGCCACTGAGGATTAGTACTGAACTCTCAAAGGCAGGATACCTCCCAGCGAGCCAAAGAAGATGCTGACTTAGTGACATACTGCCTTTGCCGCTGGTGGTGTTTTAAACACAGCTCAGTCCTGCAGTTTGCACTGTTACGGCACTTGTTATAGATACACTCTTTTGTCACCAAAGGCACACAGAGACTACTTCTCTTTCTAGATTTACATGTAAATGTAAAACTTGAACCACGGAACTATCTACTACAGCTTTAGAGCCAAAATAACCAAGCCTAATTTTCACTTAAAACTGATAGACATGAGAGAGAAAAAGAAGCGCGCAAAGACACTTGAACACTGACAACCTCATGGAGAAAATCCTTGTCCCGACATCTCAAAGGTTTTCTACTATTACTGTAAATATTAACATAACAGGAGAACATCTATCATCAGAAAGTCCCCAAATTCCCCAGCTATCTGTTGATTCAGCTACGCTGGCACGATACAGCAGTCCACAGTTATATATTAAACCTGTCTGCCAATGTAGTAAGTCTGACATTCTGCATTTATGAATGCACAGACTGAAAGATGTAGGCACCACACCAAATTATGAGGAACAGTTAACGTCTTCGGTTCTTTCTGTTCAAATCATCTAATTGTCCTACAGAGAAGTTCATTTTAGAACATTTATTTCACCCTCTCCGTATCTCAGCTGCAAGTACTTCTGGAAAATCCCGCATGAATTTTTAACTGCGTAGAAAGAAATCATTAGTTCCTGCTTGGAAACAACTGAAGTATAATATATAAATTACTGTATTATCTTATAACTGAAGAGCTAGTCCACAGTAATGACACAACATAGCTTCAAGCAGGGGAGGAATTAAGCATTACGGTGATACTACTCAAGAAACAAAATCACTATGGCATCATCAGATGCCATTGAAACAATCAACCTTTTCCAAAACTTACGATTAACTTCTTGTTTCTGGTAACCTGAAATCCATGATCCTTTATTAAATCCCATTTTGTATACAGGGAACTTACCACCTATAGTGCAGCAGTAGACAAGAGCAGTGCCACTAAAAACAAAAGGCCTTTTCTAAGCAATTTTGCAAATTAAGGATAGAGCGAGACTTAGCCCAGCAAGAGTTTTCTGTGACTGCAGAACTCAGTGAATTCTTGACTCCCCCACATGGCTTTAAAAACAGCTGTTTTCTAGTTTAGACAGGACGTAGGTAGCTGAAAATCAGTTTTATATATCTGAATAATTTGTATGGAATGAGTACGGCATGAGGAATACAGAGTAAGCTTAAAAGGTACGTGTAAGACAGATCATTATGTGGAAATCAAAATTCCAGTAACCTTATTTGTTCCACAGAAACTCTTGGGAGAACAGTGGGAAAAAACCCTTGGTATACAATGCAAAAGCCCTTTAATCCTACACAGATGAATCTTACTGAACAATTTTATCTGCCTTAATAAAAACACACTGCAAACAAATGATTGCAACATTAATTTGTTGGATGCTTGTCCATATTTGTCAAGAGCTTTGCTCATCAGAACATTTTTTATCTTGAAACAAAATTATCTGTACCATATGTGTTTCTTGATCCTTCCTCACTACTCCTCAGTCATGGTTTAAACCAGGAAACACTGAAACAGTAAGCATGCCTTCATTTCTGTTTCTAAATCAGCACTTATTGTTACTTTAGGGTGGAATTTTACCTATAAACTAAAAAGCTAACTGCTTATTTCATTTTACCCTTCACATCTTCACTGCTGTCAAGTGTATCAAATATTGCAAAGTGATTTGCATTTTCAACAAGAAAGCAATCTGCAACATAGAAGATACCAGCTACATCCTGATTACAACAGAGTCAAACAGATCAACAACAGAAAGTTGTCATGTTAAAAGACATCAGTAGCTATATTGGAGATATATTACTGCAGACACATACTGAGAAAAATCTCATACCTAAATAAATTTTTGTTTCCTTCCTCCTTTCATATCAGCAATTCTAATAAACTAAGCAGGAGAAACAGAGTTTTCTAAATTCAAGCAAGAAGTAATAATTATAAAGAAATATAATAAGCAAAACCAGACCAGGGCTGATCAAGCAGCTAATACTGGTTGAAACATAACACACTTCTATTTGAGATTCCTGTTCTGGAACCATACTGGAGGAACTGCGTATCAGACCTTTGCAGAATATTATTTGCTTATTTTCAGTGGTTAGTTGCAAAATTTGACTCTGAACTTTCAAACTAGTGTTATTATTCAGGAAATTGTCAGGTACTTTTAATACCAGACTGCCACTGTACAGGAAACAGAGAAGTCACTGAGAAGGAAAAACAGATTCGAATGATACAGGAAGTTGAATATACTCTACATTTTATAAGTGAAAAACAAGCACCTTAAGAATTATTATAACAAATGAAACACCTTTCAAAAGTAAAAAAAAAAAAAACCAAACACGAACAGGTTGCACACTGCAAACTGGCAATACAAACATGCAGGTCACTGAAGACACAAATTTAGAAAAAAATACAAAAGAATTTATAAAACCAGGTCACTCAAAGCTCTTTGGTCACTCAAACCATTTAACTAATTGAAACTTTAAGGTTCTGTACAAGCCAAAAGAAAATCAGATTTGCCTCACTGTTGAAAGTTTCATGAGAGTAAGAAAGAGATGCATAAGGGTATAATAAAAAGTCTAGCTGACAACTTTGGAATCTAGTATTATGAAATACAAGAGTATAAACAAAAAAGCCACTGAAAAGAACTTCACAAAAAAAAAACCTTGGAAGAAATAGCAGGACAATAGCACAATCAAATAGCAATGGTTCCTACCTGTTCGTAGTGGTAAGTCTGAAGTGATGTAATTTGTATTATTAAATAATGCATTCATTCCCATGAACTGTTCCATTGCAAACATCTATATTGAAAGAAAATAACACTCTTCATTACTACATATGTACATAATTTCATAAAGCATCTATCAGCAAAGAATTTCAAAGTTCTCTGCAAATATTGAGACTGCAAACACCCTGGCGCAGTACGTAAACATTTTATATCCATTTTATTTTCGCTGGTAACAGCAGTGCAAGCAAAGCTGATAGCACTGACCAAGTTTCACCAGTATCATGAGACCGCACTGAGCTCAGCACAGTTTCTAAGCACGCATTTCACTCACATGCACTAACAACTATATATTCAAAAGAGCTTATACAGTAAATTCTGAAAATCTGACCCCAGATGTCTTGCCAAAGGCCTTGCTGATAACCTGTGAGCTTTCATTTCCACTTCTGTCATTAAATTCCAGCAGACTACATTCCTTATGTAAATATGTTTACAAGCTGTAATGCAAGAAAACAGCATACCCAGGTTAAAGTTTAATTTTACCTTTTTTTTGCAACACTGACATGTCTTAACTCACTGTAATTGTTGTCAGGTATAAATCTATCTTCTTCCAAAGTGAATCAAGCATAAAGGAGAAAATAATTAAGGTGAGTAGAAATGATGTGTTCTTCACTCAAACTTTTCACTCAAGCACCATTCTCACAATTCAAATGGATCGTGAAATGACCTAATGAGACCAGGGAGTTTCTGAAGAGCTACACCTACTGATCTGTATGAGTGAAGGAACAGTTTAGTCATCAACATCAGTGCAAATTTCACAAAAAATGATACAAAGGGGCCCTTTGGGGCATAAGGGGCTTTATTTTCAGATAAAGTCCAATGCCCACCACAGAACAAATTTCAGAGCAAATGTCACAGGCAGACAGGGCATAAAAATGAGTATTTCAATTGCTTCTTTCACAGCAGGCCTAGTCTTCCTTTTCACTTCAGCCATTTCACCAGTGGCAACGCACTTTACAGGTCAAATAAAAAACACCTTAGAGGAAAAAAAACCCAAAAATCTAGATTTCCCCAAACCTGATTTCTGTCAATAGCTAGAACGCTTTTATATCTCCATGCTGTTAAGCCTAGAAAATGACAGAACAATGTGAGAGGAAGCCAAAACAGAGCGCTAGGAGAAAACACAGGGATACTGAAGATACACAAATCCACTTACTTGGGGATCAGACACTCCCATAATATAGGAATCTTCTCCTGCCATTTTAAGTCCTGAAACACAAAAACATGATCAGCACTCATTTTTTTTCAACGTAGAGCAATAGAGAAACTTGAAAAATGTTGGAGTTAGCCCCATCTCTGAATCTTCTTATTTACTCACAATGCTAATGATTTCCAAAATACTCTTAAAATTCCTCATTATTTGCAAGGGGCAGGCTAAGGATAGGATAGGTTACAGCTAGGATTTTCCATTGCCTGCTCCCAAACAACTAAAAATTGCAGTCAAAGTCACAAAGTCAAAAATTATTAAAATCAGGAATTAACTTGTTTCTGCCTTTGCTCTGACTATTCCACCGTTTAGGCAAAATCATTATCATAGTTTAGCAAAAGCAGGACTCTGCATTTTTATACCATAAAAATACTTCTGAGCATTCATGAAGGAACCCTAACAGTTGATAAAGATGTCCGAGCAAGAACATCCAATATTTTTTCTTTAAATAAAAACAGGAGTCAAACATTGACTGATTTTGGACATCTTTATTTCCAGAAGTCCACAAGTGCTTTGCACCCACAACAACACAGTGCTGACAATGACAATTATGGACGTACAACATACCTAACACTCTCTCACAGGTCTACACGTAAAAGCAGGACACTGGGAAAGTTTAGCCTGGCTTAGTTTTCCTGGGGCCAGCAGCAAGGCAGTAGCAGAGCCTGCAAATTTTCTTAGGAAATTATTAGGTCTATTATAAAAGATTAGTGTTATTTCCTTTCATCTAGATGCTATTGAAAGAATTACAATTTCACTTACGTTGATCTTACTAAAAAAGGCTCTCCAACGGAACATCTGAAAATAAATGTAGTGACTATTTCAAGAGACTCATGTCTGCATGCAAGCAGACACTTTAAATAAGGTCAATAACTAATAGAAAATAGAAACATGTCACTGGCCCTCATATTCCACCACAATGAACATGAGCCATGTTTTCCAGCAAAGTGAACTGTGAAAACCTACTGCCCTATGAAATACAGTTGCAAGTGATCAGTAAACCAGTAAAGAAAAACTGAGTCACCATGTACCTTCTACAGGAACTAGAAAGGCAAACATCAAAAAGAAAATTGGAATACTCTGGTACTTCACTTCGATGGAGGCTAAACTCAGCTTGTTGACAAGCTCCAAAGACAACGAACAGTCACCCATCCCATACAAGTAGAAAATGAAAAAAAAAAAAAAATTAAAATGGAGAAATAGGAGACACTTAATACCCAGACGACTTCCAGGAAAAAGAGGTCCATGAGGATAAAATTATTTTTTAACCTAGAAAATAAAAGTATTCACCTGTTTCTAATTCAATTTTAGAGAGAAATATTTACTGGGCAATATTTATTTGTAGTATTTGAGCAAATATCAAATAACTGGTCATAAGATCTCAGCCAAAAATGAGTAACAGAGATAACAAGCAGCCACAGTCACACATGCTGTAGTTCATCACCTAATACATCAGGATTTCAGCAATATAAAAAATACCAGTCAATCACATTATCTCACAGGCACATTCTGCCAAGCACTATTTTCATCAACAGTGTGCTGTTGTTATTACCAATTTTTATGGAAAATAGTCAGCATACATGGCATAACAAAACCTTCGGCAGACAACAAGCTTTACTAAGATGTTTTGATTTGACATTCCGTTCCATAGAAAGAACATAACCCTCATCACCAACTGACAAGTTACTGAAGTCACTGAAATAACTGTAATTTAGGTTTTTGGCAAACATTTCCCAGTTAAAGGTGTAGATGTTACAGAACACAATCTGAAGACCTCAACAGCCAACATTTTTTTAGGAAGCATCAGAAAATACCCACCCTGCTGATGCACACTGACTAGGAAACTGTGAGTGCAAATGCTGGAGTTCTTCTGCATTAACAGAATAAAAACTGGTCCTAAAAGTCTTGTTTTGTGATCTCTCATATTCAATCACTTACTTTCATGAGTCACATATGCAAAACTGTGTTCCACAATACCTAAAGCACCCAGATAACACCGTAAAAAAGCAAAAGAAAGATTCTGAGCTAGCATGAATAGCATCTGCCCACCTGCCTGTTTGCTAATGTATACTTCTTTGCAAAACTTTCAAACAAAGCATCTCACGGCTTTTCCTGAAAGCCCAAGAGGATAAATTTAACAGCATGTTCTATTGTCTCAGCCCTATTCTAGTTGCTCAGCCTGCATCACTCTCGCTCCAGCAGAGCCACAAGTCTGTGGGAGAAGGGCAGTTCTCACACCTGCCACACTTCCTGGTCACATTTACAGCTCGACGATACCTGACTTCAAACAAAGTGGAAAAATACTGCAGAGGAAGTATTTCTGAAAACTTTTCATTTAAAGTACTTTGATACAGAAATTAGAATACATACAGAAATAAAACTCATGTCTATCTGAATCAGTCCTTTAACTTCACCTGATCAAAGCGGTCATTTCTGGCTTTTTGGCTGATGCAACGAACAACATCATGAGAGCACAGCAGCAGTCATTAAAGATGAACATTACACTCAGAAGCAGCAAGGTAACTACTCACACACTACCTAGTTGCTGTAGTTGTGTAGTAATGAATTTCTAACCCGGTATTAAACACAATCTCTCTTGCACCAAAAGCACAGGTGTCTCTTACTTGAGATCTTTTGTGTTCAACAGTCAGCTACCACGTTTGGGGGAGAGGTGAAAGACATTCTCTCTGGTTTGAATGCTAAGCCAGTTTATTACAAGCACACAATGATTTAGATGTGCAAACATATGCCTTTGTGTATGTAAACTGACACCTGATTGACTTTTCAGGGCCTAGACAAAAATTAACCCAGCAGTTTAAAATGACCCCTCTAAATGACTGAAAACACTCTCAGTTTCACTATAAGTTTTGTCCTCTTTCAAAGCCAAACAAATGACAAAAATGTTCCGGGAACCCTACCTCCAAAATAGAATTTGTTTCCTTAGGATTTACTTAGTTAGCAAATCCCTAATCTTCCTCTTCTTACAAGAAAACTGGGGCAAATCCAGGGAGTCAATAACATGATTAAAAACCAAAAAGGCACTTGCATAAAAAATTGACCCTAGCATTAATTGTATGACTTTTGACTGGCCTCTTCCCTTACTGCTTGAGATTCTAAGCACATTTCCTGAATGCATTAAGTGGTAAGATTAGCATCTACCACCAGTAGCTTTGTTCATTCTCTCCTTCCATGAGCTGTATTTTGGGGCAGAGATTGTTTTTATCCAAGCTGTATTTGCTGCTATATGCATCTTAGAGAAGTCAAGTCAAAACCACCTCTCTCTCATTTGAAGATGACTGGGATTAAAATTGTTTTGTGGAAGTTCACGTTACCATATATGCCTGCTTCCCACATAATCTCCGATTCCCACAAACTGTACTGCAAACTTACATCTACCATAAAAACATAGCCCTGCACCTGCAGACCACAATCAACCATGACAGCCTCCACCCTGGAGATCGTCTGAAGTCTTACAGACAATGGGGCACAGGAAACTAAACATTTAAACTCACGGTATTTTGTAGTGTGAAAACTCAAAGGTGGGTGAAGGAACGTCATTTAGCTCCTACTGTAATGAGAAAACATGAAATCCAGCTAAACTTGTCCAAAACGACACAGCTGAGACTACTGAGGGACTATAAGTGTGTACGCACATGCATGTGTGTGCAGTACTCCTTTCTCCCCACAGTGGGCCCGTTGCCATTATGAAAAAGGTTAAAAAAAAGGAGAAAAACAAAAAAAACTGTGTAGATAGATATACTCACACATTTATGGACGATGATGGGGTTGCACCAACCAACCAAGCAAACTTAACGGCAGTTACTTTGCTTCACTACTCCTCCTTAATAACCAAACAACCTCAGGTACAAGTAGGCACAGGTGGAAGAACATGAGTTCATTTATTGTATTCTGAGTATTTGTTTTAAAGCTTCAAATGGATTAGGCATTTAAAATGTAAACAACACAATTAATGTAGGAATACTCTCATCCAGGAACAAGAATCCTCATTTCTGTTTATCTTGATCATTTGATTTCAGATCTCTCTCCTGCTGTTCTCCAACATCCACTGTATCTAACTACCTTTTAAAAACAAAGACACTTTTCTTCAACCAACTTTTTTTAGGCCCCTGATTTTTAGAGTCCAGATCCTTTCCTCTACTGTTCCTCTTCAACTTTCCGGTCTGAATTTTAAAAATGAGGCAAACCATTTTCCTCTTTGATACCACTATCTGATCCAATACCTACAAACAGGGAACAGGACTTCTTCCTATTATCCTTCTACAAACAAGCATAACCCAATGCAAATTTCATCATCTAGGAGGAATCAAGCTTTCATGTTTGATTCAGATACTAATAGTCCAGTTATTTCTGAAACCATTTACAGACATCTCACCCAGCAGCTGCATGCCTAAGACTTCAAACTTTGTTCTTTTTCTTTCCAGCTTTGTTCTCATACTGGCCTGGCTAAAAACCTGAAGAGTACACATACTAACAAATTAGGAAGACTTCTTATTCTTCCAAGCACGAAATAAAAATCATTTGAATATTACACTATTGATCAGCCTCCCCACCCCCCCCCAAAAAAAAAGAAATTTGAGCTTTAGTACCCCAAATGTATCTATTCATGTTTTAAAGTGCATCAGTGCACTTACAGATTAAGCTAACACTTCACATAGGACCTGAGGGAAAAACAAAACACAACAAAACGTGACATATGCTTCCTTTCCCAGACCTTCAAAGAGAAATATGGTAAGCAGGTCTCTACTTTTAATCTATGTTCTTTGAATATAAATGCATTTTTAAAAACCAGCTTGGAGAGATGAAGTATCACCAACTTCTCTACCCCACAAAGACCTGCCTCATCATAAAAGAGCATGATGCCTGGTGGAGGCTCTGATAAGCCACTCATCTCCTTTAAATTTTCTGTACTTTGAACCAATCAAACAAAATAAAAGCATAAAACCTGATGTGACAGGATGCCC